TGCGCAGGACTGTCCTGCCTGCCTCCAGCCAGCATCACCCCTCAGCCAGGCAGGCTCGGCCTCACTGAGCGGGCTCAGGTGCGCAGTGCCCAGCTCAGCCCCAGCCAGGGAGGTGCCCCACTCTCAGGTCCGGCACGTGTCCCTGAGGAGGACTAACAGGTCTGTGAAGTACTAACGCCCCTGGCCCCTGCAGCCCCTCCAAGAAGAAGATGCAGTGCATTTCCAACATCTCCATCACGGTCATGTACCTCATGTACTTCCTGGCTGCGCTCTTCGGCTACCTCACTTTCTACGGTAAGCCCTGGGAGCAGCGCAGAGGAACCCCCATGCAGATGACGCCCCGGGGACAGCGCAGGGCAGCACTGAGTGTGTGGTGTGCCCACAGGGCGCGTGGAGTCGGAGCTGCTGCACACCTACAACAAGGTGGACCCCTTTGATGTGCTGGTCCTGTGTGTGCGGGTGGCCGTGCTGACAGCCGTGACGCTCACTGTTCCCATCGTGCTCTTCCCGGTGAGTGTTTCCTGGGAACGTTAGGCAGCACCACCACAGCCACAGGCCACCTCCAGGCCTCTGCGGGGCCAGACTCAGGAGGTCCCTTAAGTTGGGACACTAAGGCAAGTGCCAAGGCTGGAGTGCCACAGGGCTTCCCCAGGCCAGCTCTGGGCAGGCTGCATGAGCAGCCGCCCCCAGGGTGCCTGGAGCTACGCTCTGAGGGCCTGTACTTGGCCCCAGGTGCCCAGGGTGAAGCATGACACTGTTGTTCCCGTGCCCAGGTGCGCCGGGCTATTCAGCAGATGCTGTTCCAAGGCAAGGACTTCAGCTGGATCCGTCACATCATCATCGCTGTGGTCCTGCTGACTTTCATCAACCTGCTGGTCATCTTTGCCCCCTCCATCCTTGGCATTTTCGGCTTGATCGGTGAGGGGAAGTGCCCACCATGAAGGCACTGGCCCTGGGTGCAGCAGGTCTTCCCATGGCCATGGCTCAGTGCTGCCCATGGGGCTCATTGTCCTGCCAGGCGCATCCTGCCAACCCCGTGGTAATGCCTGGGTCTGCCAGGCCCTTTCCTGGGGGTTGATGCCGAAAGGTGCTTGCATCACCACGGGGCTCCTCTCATTCTGTGTCTGAGTGGCTTTGCTTGCTCTCTGAAACTGGGTACTCTGTGGTCACCGCGATTGGTGATGGGCCTCCGGCACAGTGCCAACACCAAGGGGGAGGAGGGTGCCTGGGGCTGGTGCCAGGACAGTGTGTTCCCAGGTTCCTAGAAATCCAGGCCAGATCCGGGGGGAGAGGGCAGGACCCAGCTCAGCAGCACAGGCGGCAGGATTCAGCCATGGGGCCGGGGCCTGCTGCCCCCTCTGTCCCTGTCTGCTCCAGGTGCCACGTCTGCTCCCTGTCTCATCTTCATCTTCCCCGCCATCTTCTACATACGCATCATGCCCAAGGACAAGGAGCCTCTACGCTCCCCGCCCAAGATCCTGGTGAGCCTTGGGCACCCGCCATCAAGATGTAGGGATGGGACGGGATGGGGTGTCCCCAGGGCTGGGCTGGCCTTGAGACCTGGCCCCTTGGGGCCTGCGAGGTTCTGAGGGTGGCTCCTGGCTCCCTGTGAGGTGGTGGGGATGCTGGCGCCCAGTGGTTGGCATGGACAGGGCTGGGCTCTCCCCAGTCCCTGCTCAGGTGGGGGACACTCTCAAGCCTCCTGGGTACCCATCCCAGCTCTACCACCCCCGTGGGCCCCGGCACCATGAGTGGGAGCAGGGTGGAGGATGACCCTTCCCGGCCTCCTGAGCAGTGCAAATGTGGGGCCGTGACATCCTGGGCTGAGCCATTTTTCTGCTGACGCCCCACTCTTGTCACCTGCAGGCAGCCTGCTTCGCCCTCCTCGGGGTGATCTTCATGATCATGAGCTTGAGCTTCATCATCATCGACTGGGTCACAGGCGGGGGCAGAGCCCCTAGCTGCCCCTGGGGACCCAGACCAGGCGGCCCCACTGCACCGGTGCCCTGGGGCCGCCAGCCCGGGGGCCGGCCTCCGACCCCACTGCTTGGACCGTACCATGACCCTCGCGCTGCCCACTGGGCACACGCAACCCCCTCTGCCCACCCTGGCCCGATGGGGAAGGGGTCCCGTGCGGCCCCGTGCTCATAGTCGGGGACAGAGCCCCAAGCTGCGTGGGAACCCCCGGCCTGTGCCAGGGAGGGGGGCAAGCCCCAGGCCATGAGGGCAGTGCTGTGCCTGCATCTCCCACGTGTCCCCGCCTGCTGAGCACCTCAGTTTCCCCATCTGGAAGATGGGGAGAATGTTTCCCTACCTCACCGGAGCTGGCTGTGAGCTGGACCTCATCTCTGCACCCGGAGAGCATCCGGCCACTGGCAGCAGGCACTGCCAAGCGCGTGTGGCATGGGGGGGACAAATGGGACCTCCAGAATGCCAAGGGGAACTCAGACAACAGGGGTCTGCAGGGCTCGTGTCTAGGGGAGCAGGACAATGCTGGGGGAAGCTGGGCAACCCGCTGGGTTCCCTGGGGCACGGCTGTGTCCTCTCTCCCTGCTGCCCCATGGACAGTCAGCGCCCCCTCGCCCTGTCCCTCGGGGGCACCCCAGTTCCTCTGGGAAAGGCAGCGCTGCCACGGAGGCCGCATGGGAGCCAGCGCCATTGTGGGACCAGTACGCTGCTACTGAACTTGCTGGGCCAGGAGCTGCGTCCCTGGGACCATCCTGACTGCCCCAGCACCCCCGAGGCGGGACACGGGCTCGGGGCCAGCTCCGGGCCTGGGCTGGGAGGGAGCGGCGCCTTTGGAGCCTCCCTCGTTCATGCCTGCTGGTGCCTCGAGCCCAGGCACCAGGGTGAGGGGCAGGTGTGGAGCCAAGGGGATGCTGCTACCAAGCCTGTGTCCAGAGCCCCGCACTCCTCTTCCCTCCAGCCCCACCATGGCACTTCCCCAAGCCGTGCGAAACCTGGGCAGTGGCTCTGTCTTCCTTCTCCCCTCCACACCGTCCTGCCCGCCTGCAGCTGGCAGGCGGCAGCGAGGGCAGGCTGCCCCCCGGGGAGGGGGTTCTGCAGCACTGACAAGGTGGCAGGGGGCCGGCGCTGGGGGCTCTGCAGGCGGTTGCGGCAAAACAGAGATGTATTTTTTTAATGAGGGAGGTGGAGGCTGCGATGCTTTTTATAAATACTGTACATAGGAGTCACTCTCTGGGGCTGCGTCACGGCGCTCACGGTAGCTACGGGTGGTTCCCGGACCAGCGGTGCGCCAACCCCAGCGGTGGGGAGCCCGCCCGAGCCCTCTGGGCCAGCACTGCCCACTTGTAAATTATATGTGCGAACAAGAACTGTGCTGGAGAGGGGTCCCCACCAACACCTCTGGCAGTGACAATAAAGGTAATGTGAAGCCTGATGAGGTGCACAGCTGCACCAGGACAGGAGCCAGTCCTGACCTGTGCAGACACACGGTACCCTCGGGAACAGGCACTGGTGAAAGCCTTGGGATGGGATGGGGGGGGCACCCAGGAGCCCTGTGTCCCAGCTCCTTGGCACGGAGCCCTCCTTAGATGCCGGGGCACCAGGCCAGCTTGTCCCGTTCGCTGGCGGGCCCAAATTAGCACAGTACCCGCATGAGGGGGATGCTGCCTTGCTGCCCACTCCCAGCCCCGCGCCCTGTCCTCACACACAACCCGGTCTCCCGGCGCCAAGCCCCGTCCTTCAGGGCGTTGGTTCCTTTGGAGGCTATGTGGCCCAAGGCTGCCCCAGTGCCCACTTCCTCACTGCGGATCCCCCTGCCCACTGGGCCCAAAACACAGCCTTGGGCTCCCACTCCCTCCCCGTACCCTCCAGCTCCTCCAGTGCTGGGACAGGCTGTCCCCAACACCTCGTCCTTACCGGTGGAGGGGGGTGGCCACACTGGCCTGCTCTGGGGCACCCCTGGGGCACAGCATGGCCCCATTCACAGCACCCATGTGCTGAACACCTTCAGGATCAGCCCCAGAAGCTGCGGGACGCCCACATGTGGGGCTGTGGGCTCTACAAGCTGCACACCTCCCCTGGGGCTCTGCATGGGCCAG